TTTCATTGGAAAAATGTGCCGATTAAGCTTTTAGTGTGTGTAATTTGTGATATTTTGACAAATTTTATAAAAACAACAAAAAAACCCTAATACTGTTGTATATCAACTTCTGTTTTCCCAAAGTGTGAAGAAAAACAACTTAAAAGAGTGCAGTGCTGTAGATTTGCATGTGAATTTGTTGCCTCTGGTGTACTGCGGTATCAGGGAAATGCAGGCTGTTAAGGGCTGATGTGGTTCTTAGAATGTGAGCCAGCTTCCTTCAAGTTCAATGTTGATTTATTTTTTCACATGACTGGATATTTCTCAAAGAAAAATGACAGGTGAGTGATAAATACTTCAAAGAGTGAATGCGTTACCTGCTCTCTGTTCTGCTGGCCTCCATAGGACCATGTCCCTTTAGTTGCATTAAAAAAACCCACCCCATCTGTCGACAGGTCTGGCTCCCGTTCAGGAATCCCCCCTTTCACTTCCCATGGGCTTGAACCTTCCCTCTCTCCCCTTGCGGCCAGGGGGAAAGTACAATGTGTACATTGCTGCTGTTTGCACGCCGAGCTGAGAGCAAAACAATTGAGTTTTAGAATAAACCCTAAAGATGGTGGTGAAGCAGCTTGTTTCTCTATATGGCTTCAAGTAATTACCTTTAACTACTGGCATACCTGGTGCAGAGTCATAGATTTGCCTTTGAACACACATCTGTGTGTCCAACATCTTTTCCAATTCCTGTTATGTCCATTTAAGTCTACCTTCAGTTTGGTTTTAGACAGGTTGTATTCTAATAGTAGTCCATTCCTGAACACTTAGCAGGTGTTACGCTTTTCCTTGTCTAAAAATCCTCCCGTGTACTTATTAAAGAATTTTGTTTAGGTTTGTCTTCATTTCTTCTGGTAAGAAATGACCGTACAAGTATTTCAAAATGCTACCCTGCCTAGACACATCAACATTTTTCTTTAGTCATGCTCTTGGATTCTAAAGGCTTTTTAAAAGAGAAGGAAGGGAGGACTCATGGTGGCTCTTGTTCCTGGTGGAGACCAGATCATGTTTTCCCACAATGAGCAGCAGTAGCCTGTCCGCATGACTAATGCTCCTGGAGTTTAAGAGGGATTTGGGTTTCTGGGGGAGATAAAGCATTAGAGTGAAGAGACCAGTCTGCAGGGTAGAGGCTGCTGTGAATACAGACTTTGCTTCAGGCATCGCTGCTGCATGGAGGTGACAAGCTACCCTCCCTCACTTCCAGGCAGAGGAAGAGACTAAAGTGTTAGTGTTATCTACTGAGGATGTATCAAGCTGTAGCCCTGTGTGTAGTACAGAAGGTTATAGTACCTTCAAAGCTGATGAGTTGAGGTTTCTCTCTAAAAAAAAAAAAAAATCATGCCTTCAAATATTTAAAACCAAAGGACAAGGACTTCACTCCTGTGAAATGGGTGCCAGAGTCAGTCAACAGAAAGGGAGTTCTTACACAAACAGTAATTGAATGCTTGTGGTCAAGTGCCAAATCCAGGCTTGCCCCAGGAACTTCACACCCACAGGCTTTATTCTTAGATGCTTACATACTGTACACAGCTGTAGGCTTTGCCCAGTTACCTAGAAAACTGGACAGGTCAGTAAAATATGATCATCACAAAAAAAAAAAACCAACCCACACCCAAGTAAACTTTGTAAACAGAAGGGGAAAAGTCAATTTGTGAATAACTTTTGCAGGAAGGTTGCACAGCCAGACGTGACCTCTATGGAACACAGTTGCTGCCTTCTGGTACAGAAAAAATACACAAAACCAGAAGAATCCCCCAAGAGAAAGGGTGGGGGACATGTTCAGCTTTGGGTTTGGTGGTTTTTTGTTTTTTTTTTTCCAAATTTCAGGTAAACAACATTTAACCTGCATTTGAACTAACCTTGGCACACATATTCAATCAAAAGTAAGCTTAGAACCCAATCTGTAACCACCTGTTAGTAAACATTCACCTTTAACCATAAATTAGAAGCCAGTGGAAGGATTTGCCAGTAACATTAAATACTTAATTATTTATTTGGTTTCCATATTTAAGAGAGCCTTCAAGGCCAGAGTTACATTATTGCTAATATAAAGGAGTAAATGGCCAAATCGCAGCTGTAATTGCATCACTCCATTCATGCCTTAAAGATCAGCCAGCCGCCAGCGACAGCCGGGTTCCTCCCCACAGCCTATGCTTCAGTCTGCAACAGTAAAATGGGAGAGAACTAAGACTGCAGGAGGGACTCTGAGCCCATAGGACTTCATCACAAACACACTCTGAGCTTCATAAATGAACTTCAGCAACACCTCAGTACTTAGTTGTTGAATTAGTGGAGTTACACTTCATGGGAAACTACCCAGCTTGGGTCTAAAAAACCAAAAAACCAACCCCAATGCAAAGCCAGGCTGACCATTACATTCAAAGTACTAGGTCTGGATCAATGTTTTGTACCAGTCTACACAACAATGCATACACTTCCTGGAGGAAATAAAACCCCACAAACTTTTATTGTAGAGAAAACAATTATCAAAGAGACTCAAAGCGTAAGCAAGGTTTAACTAATCCTTGACCTTTGCAATGAAAATAGCAAAATCAAAAAAAACCTTAAAAAGTAGTTTAGAACCAAGATATTTAAAGTGAAACAAGATCAGAAGCAGAGTGCCAAAGTGCCTTTACATCCTGTGTCCAACTCTGAAGTATAGACAACTTAAACCTTAGCACATGAAAGGATAATTCTAGTCCTTAGTGGAAATTCAAGATGTTCAAATTGAGTAACAACATAGTACATTTTTTTTCAAAATCAAGAAGGTTTAAAAATATATTTCCTGCCATAATAAAGCATTTTTTTGGGAAGCAATGTACAAATGAGGTAGAAGTGTCAAAACAAATGACTACTCAAACTAGTTTAACACTAAGTGTAGCCTGGGAAAACAAGTCCTATATTAAACTGGAAATGTATTTTGTTTCTGAAGATGTCCCTTATGTTGCTTAAACAACATTTAACACATTGTCAGTATCAACCTGCCTGTCATTTTAGTTAATAATAAGTGATTGACACAAATGTTACAAGGATGAGTGCCTCCATAAAATTATATAAGTTGCACTGAAGTTTTGATGGATCTGATATTATTCTATATTATTCTTTGTACGTGTCAACTTTTTATAAAAAAGCTGCAGTGTGTTTTAAAGCACTTTTTTTTTTCTTAGGTTGTCAGCTTTAAATCACTAGTGACTTTGTATGCAGGAGTGGGGCTAATTTAGATCCATTAGACATCAAAATCCAGGATTAAGTCTATGCAGCACACTGCTGCCGTAGGATGACAGTTTTGAATTCTTCACAGTTACCATTAAGTTGCTTCAAAACAAAAGTCATCCTGTACCCATCTTGCTGTTCAACCAATCCTCAATCATAGAAGTAGAAATTTGAGCATGGTTCTTCTTCTTAAAAAAACCCAAAACAAACCAAAAACTTCATGTAACTTCAATGCGATTAAACATCACTGCATTTCTAATAGAAAGGGAAAGGCTGTGCTTGGGGTAGGAAGTCACAGCACATGTGAAACTACTGTTCTTTGTCCAGTAGGAAGTTTCTATATAAAACAGATACAAGCATGATAAACAGCTAAGGCTACAGCCATGCCAGCTGCAGCAATACGAGCAGCTCTAATGAGCGAAGAGCAGAGTAACTCACAGCGAGTGTTACAGACCTCCAGCCATGGCATTGTACACTAGAGGCTGTAACACTTACTACATGTGTTTTTATGTGGAAGCCTGAAAAAAAGTTTCCCTGATTGTACTATCTGCTCTTTGGGTGAGCCTTCCTTTTCCTGCTCCACAGCTACACACATCTTTGTGCCATGATGAGGTACAAGGGCTGGAGCAAAAGCTAAAAGTGACATACTGTAAATGGAGTGTAAAGACTTGCATAGAGAGAGTTAGTGTTTAAAAAAAAAAAAAGAATTCCCTAGTGAAGCATCCAGATAAAGAACTTGTGCTTAAGTAGACCTAGCTCCCGTCCTGTGCCAGAAAGCTTTTCTTTATCCCTTGGTACCTTCCGATGTTCCATCTGAACCACATGTCTTTGTGGTTAGTTACGCCAGCGTGCCAGCATTTCAGCAGTGTGAGATGAGCAAATACTTATTATAGTGCTGATGTGCAAACCCAAGTCTGGACACTGCACCAGTGCTCGGCTTATAAGGATGCAACCTCAGCAGAAGCCCAAGCTTTACTGAATTACTGTCAGTAGCTCCACAGCCACATCCCTAACCAGACTGTTCAGCCTGTACAAGAACATGCAAGCGTAACCCCAGTTCTGTGGAGAAATGGTTCCAGTTCTGTTACTTCTTCTGCTGTGATAAAACTATTCTACACCAAGCTTGGATATGCAAGGAAGAAAACTCAACCTGCCTTCTAGGACACACGAGTTAAATGCGATTCAATGGAGGATTTCTGTTTCATTTACAGTTCCTGGAATTTAACAGTTTACAGTTCAATAGAAGGTATATACAGAAATTTGTTACTGGAGACGCACTTACCATAGGTGAAATCTGCAAGCAGAGGTACAGGTGTAGGCCATAAAACTGCAACTCATGAGCTTAATAGTCTCACAGTTATGAATTCAGAGGGGTAGACAGTGAAATTTCTATAATACATTGAGTGATACTCATGTATACATCTCTGGTGTTCTTGTTCTGTTAGTGCCAGGAGACATATTCCTTTTACTGTATGTTATACCATTTCCTAGAGTGCTTGTCCTTCATTTACAATCCATTTTTTTTCTCCACCATAAATGCATTGGCATAGGTTTATTCTCTTAAATATAGCTTACCTGAGTAAGTCTTTAAGATTCTTCAGAAGCTGGATCTTAGAAGGGAAAAATAACACCACGAGAGCGAGGAACAGCATTAATAGCAGACGATGTTTCATATCCAAGGCTTCTTCCCCTTACTTTGTATTCCATCATGCTCCAGCTCTGCTTAACAGCTTGTACAGAAGGTCTGACAGCACATGTGGTATTGTACATGCTTTATTAAAATGGTACTCGTATTTACAATATCTGCAGAAACAATCCCTCCCAAGTCTTGCATTCAGACAGACACGCACACATACACACGCGCGCACGCCCCTCCACTCTACAGGGGTGTGAAGGCTATGCTCCCAAAAGTTAGGCAGCTTCTGGAAGAGGAGGAAGGGTGACTTTTGTGTGTGTTTGTAATTACTTAAAAAGAAGCATGGGAGTATGCATTTGGCCATCACAATGCTAATTTAAGTATATGTAGTATTAACATATGGCAGTAACACTGAGTATTCCTCTTTTACATTCTATACACAGAATGACATCAAGGTTTTCCAGTCAACAGAACATTCTAACTTCAGTCTCAATGCTGCTTGTAGTGACTATGAAACCACAATTTTGGGGCTGTCCCTTAAAACAATTCAAGTCTATGTAAGCGAAATAAGGCACAATTAAGATTTGATTTGATTTGATTTAGAGAATGGGAAAAGGGGAGAGAGGCAGGCTTCAGATAATAGTTGTTGCAGAGGAAAAGTTTTACCCAATCCTTTTGAGAAGAGGATGAATTTTACCCCCATCCTAATCTACATGGAATTCTCTTAGAGAACTGAAGTATTCTGCCAGGGCTACTAACACCCACATACAAAATAAAATTGGAAATTCACATTTTAACACCAGTTTCAGTAGTCTAACCTACTGATACTGATGTACATGAGTACATCTTTCTTTAATGCTGAAGGAAAAGACACACATGAAACAAGATTCAAACCTTCCACTGAGCTTGAAGACACGTCTTTTAGAGAGCTTGTAATATATATTCTTTGAAGGGTTCAGCTTATCGATAAAAAGGAATAGCGTTTTTACCTTTAAATCCCTGGCCCCTCTTCACTAACGAAGCCTAACCAGACATTACAAATAAACTGCAACAAAAAGTTTGGCAGCACAAATGATGTCTAGTATTCAAATCTTCATTTGTGAGTATATTATTTTCCTTGTACAAAACCTGTTGAATGTTTTTCGCAGCAGATGAACTGTACCCAAAGATGCAGGACATTCTGTGATGGGGAACAAGAGGTTGCAGTTCCGAAGGCCCCTGACTTTGGTTGTTTACAAAGTTCATTCCTGTTTAGTGTGATCCTTGGTATCTTCCTCATCTGTGTATTCTGATGGTTCTTCCCCTGGTTTTAGGAGTCTACCTACGTAGTCGTATTTTTCTGAAAAAGATTTATGATTCCGTTACAATCAAATACAACTGCATTTGCTAGTTAGCCTGCAATGCTGCAAATTCACTTTTTCTCCTACACACTAAGATTCTCAACCTGACCACTGAAATTGATGGTAATTCATCAGAAAGCTCAGCCTCCTAAAACAATATTGCTGCTCACTACTTTTTCTCCTCTGAGTACTTGGTTGCAATTCTCCCACGGCTAATCAGGCAAGCTTCATCACACAATGGCTGAAAACACTGCTATTAAAACCAGCACAAATTCCCTCAGCCTGTTTTGATTTCAACTGAAGTGAAAAATTACTCCCCCTCCCTCCACAGGCATACTTTCATACTTTTTAGAAATTATTTCAAGACAAACTTGTTCAACTCTTCATGCCAAAACAACTCTTAATCCTAATGATAATTCCATGGCATCCAAAGCCAACAACCTGTGAGCAGGAATTCCTTCAGCTAAGCTACGCTGAGATTCAAGAGTAAAATTGTGTGCTGAAGAGCTGACAAGAGACCAGCTTTCTTGTAACAAACTAAAAGGCTGAAAAAGTTAATAGTGGGATATAGTAGAATCCTCTCTATGGAAGAAAGGCCTGAAATCCCTGGGGTTTTCCCAAGAAAGTTACATTGCATTATCAACGTTACTGCCAACATCTCTTTAAAAGCTGCCCCAAGCCCAAATCAGTCATTTTTATTAAAAGTATTTCCTTAAGCTCAAGATGTGATGCTAATTTGAGAATTTACCTTTAAATTGCATTTCCCACTCTCTGACACTTTCCATCTGTACAGCATTTAAGTCCGATAGGTCATCATATTCATCTCTGAGTGCATCTTTATCTAGACAGAAAGTTGCTAGTCCCCTGGAAGCATCTCTGCCAGCAAATATTCCATATGGACCCTCTGAAAACAAAAAGACAAAATTGATATCTTCAAGTGTTTTTTTATGGTGACTGATCTCAGTTCTTGATGTAGTCTGCCAAAGCCATGCATCGAACTTCTGCAGTGATAGGAACAGCAGCAGTTTGAACACCGTGGCTGTTCAACATTCAACAGCAGTGCAGTTCCATCCTAGGTATCACTAGGAGATAAAGCCTGCTGAGAGAGGCAATACCAGGAAAATAGCTTTGGAGGGATATCTGGAAAAATCCCTGTCATTTTCTGAGAGGCTGCTTTCCTCCCCAGCTGCTTGCTCCATCCACCACACCTATCTGCTCTTGCCGGGCATTCACTTCAGGGTTGAGAGAGAGGCTGAATGCAGCGGGAAGAGCTCCTGAGGTAGGGAACCTGGGTACCATATGGATTAGAAGAAACTCTGTCCTCACCAGAGCTGGTGCTCTCTCTCCCCCACAGAGTGCTTGGCACTGTGAGTTGCTTACAATCTAACCTGAGAACTGGAGGGTGTCTTTCTTGTATGTCAAAGACAATTCCCCTGTCTCTCTGGAAATAAACAAATTGTTTTAAGAGCAAATTTCACAAGAGAAAGAACTATCAACTGGAAACTTGCACTGTACAAACTGCTCTGGCTGTAAGAGACAACCATAATGATTAACAGCATCTCTATGTTTGTCCTTTCAGATATTTAGCTCCAGGAATGGCATTCACAGTGACTACCTCTGGGATCAGGGACTACATTTATGCTATTTAAGAGAAAAAAAGTCAAGAGTGCTCGTGAACTCTAGTTTTCCTATTTGTATCCTGAATTAGATGATCATTTGAAAAACAGGGTTCAGAGACTAAAATCAATCCTATAGTAAGATATTTAATCTATGCATTTTGCATGCTCAGTCACTTCCCATGAACACGGTAAAAGGTAGTGACTGCCATCATTTGCAACGTAATATGGACCTTCTTCAAACAAAAACTCTTGCTTCACTCCAAAATAGCTATCATTCGAGAGATCTAGTTTTTGATGTTCTGAATGAAGAACACAGGAGCTATAAACAGCCCTTACAAAGACCACACACAATCAGTAAATCCTTCACAGCAATTTCAAATTGCTACTTAACTTCCCCACCAACAGTATTTTGTCCCATTTTTCCTTTCCTGAAGAGTTTAAAACAATTGTTTCCATAAACCCTACTAGCTATTTGCATAATGCGTTTTTAAAATTCTGTCTAACCAGAGTTAGAGGAGCGTGCTGTTCCCTTCCCTTCTAGTCCACATTTAGTGGTTGATGGAGTTTTACAGCACCTACTGAGATGCCACCTCTTGGTCCACCATCTTGATTCCAATTATTTCTATTAAAAGGAGAATTACATTTACTAGTATCAAGCCCTGAACACTCTTAGATCTCAATCATATACATAAAAGCATGAATGCTTTTAGAATGTATCTTGCATTAAGATTAATGTATGCAAAATTTCTGAAAATGTAATTTCAGATGCTATTAAACATTTTTTTTCTTTTCTAAAATTCAATTTAAATGTTAACATTCTAGCATGTTTACTACAGAAGTATTCAGGAGTCACAGAGAAACCATCAAGCCAGGTCCTAGTGTTCAACAGAATGCTAAGTAGTAAAAACCAGCCTTGGGATTTTGTAGACAGCATCTCAAACTCCAGCTCTGCAAATGTAATTTAGAAAAGTGTCCCATTCTTTAATCCTTTACTAAAAAGCAAATAGTGAATTATGATTATTTAAAAAAAAAGTACAAGCCTGACTTCACCTTAGTTGCAGGGTTGCTAAAGCAGAAGTTCAGAGATCTCAGTATGAGCAATCTACTTCAAGCTTCCATTCAGATACTTTCACACACATATTAAGTACACTGTTTTATATTAATATCCAATATACAGGCCTGGGGTTTTGCTATAAGCCCTAGTCTATTATTCACTTTTATATAAATACTAGTGCAACAATCTTAAAAGGTATTTTGCATGTCAGATTTTGTTGTGGTTGGAGTAGCACTCAGGAAGGTGCCAGCATAGAGAACCCTGGGGAGAAAATATGCTTCAAGAACATGATTCTGAGGTAGTGACATTAGTGCAATCCTAGCAGTGCTCGCTCAGATCTTTCATGACCAGATACAATTCACTCTGCAAGCCCTACCCATAGACCTTCTTTTCTTTCCTTTTGTCTGCCTACCTATTCAGACTCCTGCTCTAAATAATTGATTGCACCATGACATGATAAACATACTGAAGAGATTGTAAAAAGAGATGCTATTAGCATAGCTATGTATACCAAACTGATTTTTCAAACGCCTATTACAAAATTTTAGTGGTTCTCTTTTGCTATACCCCAAATTATCTATTTCATAGTCAAATATTCCTTTAAAAATTTCTCCTCCCAGTCCTATTTGGCATTTTGCAACAACAAAAGGAGAGTCAGGGAAGCATCAAAACCCATTTAAAACATGTCTGCTACATCTTACTTGGCTACATGTAGTTAGGAGCCCTACATGAAGGAAAACTTTGTTCCCTGAAGAACGCTTTTCTTCCCATCACTGCTTTCACATATTAAAACACTTTGTTTCAGTGCCTTTGTTTATTTTAGTGCTGAGATCAAACACTTACCAAAACTACCTATTTGCCTATCTCCACATCTATACTGGCTTATTTATACACTGCCTTTTTTCCCTGTATAAATTCCTCATGTACCTTACAACTCTACCTTGTATAAGGTATGCCCTTCTCTAACGCATACAAAATGTTGCTACCCACCACCTGCTACGACTCACAGGAAGCACAGATCCTCACTTTGTTTCAGAATCCAGTTAAAAATCTGTCTGCCTTGATGAATTTGACATCTTGTTCCAGCCTGACATTTGTCTTTATTCACAAATGAACTGGGTAGCTTGAGAATTGGGAAAATCAAGCTCTCTTCAGCCAGTAAAAATACCTTTCCAATTCCTGCACTCAGGATTTCTGCATCTCCTAGCCCTGTTTTGGTTCTCAAATGAAGATTTAATTTCTCATTGCAGACACACTAAAACAACAGGAGGCAAGGAAAAATAAATTTAACATTCAAGCACTGTATTTAAAAATTTGAGATAGGAAGCTTAAGTTTTTGTTTGCAAGTACTGCTTCTAGTCACTTGATCCAAAACAGGCTAAACTGGATCTTGGAACAGCACGTGCCTCAATTTTCAACTGGTTTAAAAATTGAACTGGTGGGTGTTCAAATTTTGAGTAGATATTCTCTGTGTACCAAAGAGGCTATCTGACCATTTCAGTTCTGTACCAGTTTTGCAGAACATCCTGGACTATTGCTCCTAGACCAGTAATGAAGGTGACCACTGAACTTTGGATTGCTCCAACTGTCAGCACAGGGACAGCACCACAGATAGCCGCATGTGGACTTTATAACTAATGAAGTGATTCTGTAATCTAAGAACTGTGTTCATTCTCACAAGATACATACAAGCTCTTTGAAGAAGCCATATAGGCTAACAAGGTTCAATTTGAAAGCAGCTTTAGTTTCTTCAAATACTCAAAAAGCATTTCCGAGCTATCACCAAATATGCAGAACATACTGGATGTTCTTTGCATCTGTGGGCTCCATGCAGCCACTGGAAATAAAGCCCAGTTTTGTCTGAAGCTTAGAAATTAATGGACAACATTTCTAAAACTGGAGACAAGTAAAAAGACTAATCTCTCCTTTAACATAAGTTAAAGCAACAAAGGGAAACAGACCATGAAATTGTTGACAGCTGCACAATTCTATCGCTTCACCTACCTTTCCAATCCAAAGCAAAGTGAAAGCTTCACTGTCTGTTTAAAATTTTCCATCTGAATCCTGACACGTTTGTTCAGTGTTGCATCTTTTATAAGGGAATGATAAAGCTACAAATTATACAAAGCCATTTTGAGATGCAGCTTGAAAGGAGAAGCTTTCTAATAATATTTATCACTGGGAATTCAAGGTGACATAATTTTAACTTTACTGCTCCACATTTACGAGAAAGGAAAGATGTGGGTCAATTTTAAGTTACAACTTGCATGGAAAGTAAGCATTCTTAGGAGAGGCAATCAACAAAGACTACATGGTAAGATGGGAACTGATTAGAAAGAGGGGTCTAAACCTGACTGCTTAGGCACGAGACCAGAGGGCCTCACTCTTGTCTTTCACTTGCTTCCTTTTTAACTCTGTGAAAAAAGTGCAAGAATCAATGACCCAATTTCAGCCCTGCCAGGAAAAAAAAAAGGAGATTCCTGGAAGACAGCTCCGTATCTGAGGGAGACCTAGATTCCGTATCTTGCTTCAGTGAGAAGTGCTCTGGCCACTAGTTTATGCCACAATAAGGCAAGCAATGCTGGCCAGGCTTTTGTAAATGAAAGAGAGCTACAATGCTATGTAATGGATTTAACACTCATCTGTCATTCACAATGATGCCACTATCAGATCATAATGTATCTTGCTTTGAGCTACCTGCTTGATCAGGCCCCTCCAACCACAAGTAACTGGAACCTGAATGATTTAAATAGGAACTAGGGATTTACCCAGACAGACCTTTTATCAAACACACAGTTGTTCAGGTTTTAAAGAATATATTCAGGTTATTAAAAAAAGGAAAAAGAAAAACAGGAGAGCATAAGCTGACAGACACATAAAGCAGAAGCAGAGGAGGAGACAGAGTGATGCATCTTCCTGCACGAAACCGCTTCACTGGCCCCTGCTCTCCATGAACATGGACTGAGGGCTTCGAACAACAGCTTCATCCTAGTGGCAAGGGCACTACTCCCTTTTATCAAAAGTATGGAAATAATTTCTCATCAATACCCAGGTATATATTTTCTTACTTTCACTACTTCTGGTAGGAACTTCTCTTTATCCAGAAACACTGTTTCTTTGAGAAGCTGGGAGACACCTCCATCATACAGACACCAAAGAGCTGGCAAACATCAAGAACACAGAGAAGGTACACACCTTACAGGAAGCACTTCTTTCCCCCCCGTCTTATCCTCTGTACTTAGCTGTAAACCCTCAGCCCGTTGGGCTCTTAAGAAAAGGCCATCCTTAACAGAGTTCTCCAGACACAACATGTATGATGTCCCTCCTGAAACACTTCACTCTAACCATACCCTTGTAAAGGATGTTTTGAAAAGCATCAGTGCCAGCTTTTAAACAATTAAGTTTAAAGCACTCAATTCCAAAGGAAGTCTAACAGCATCAGATTATTTTTATACAAATAATGGGAAAAACATGACAGCTGTTTGCCTCTGAATTTTTCAAAGTATTTATTATCAGAAATTGCAGTTAGCAGGATTGCAACGTGAAATAAAGCTAATTTTCCCCTCATGAAAAATGAACTATGAAGCTTTCATGGAAGGAACTGCTACTACCTGATCTATTCCTCTTGGCAAACTGCAAAGCAGAAATCTTCATGATGCTTTGAAAAGACAACAGTGGGATATAAAATGAGTTGACGGTGACAACGTATTGCAGCAAAGTCAGGAAATTGATTTTTTTTTTAAATCATGAAACATTAAGAACCAAGAACTGACGTGGAACAGTGGTATACACTGGACTGCATATAATCTTGCTTTGTCATGCTCAAAGGCATATATTTTTTCATCACTGCACAAAGTATTTGGTAGGTTAATCAAAACGTGTTCACAGCATTATCTTGGCATGCCAATTTAAATGCTAAGTATTAAGATCTGCTAACATTACTTTAACTCTTACTATGCCCTTCTATTGACCAATATACTACCAAGAATCTTGATGAAAACTATCATGAAATTAAATGGTGCAATAAATGGAACAGTAAAAACTATCTCTCATTATAAGGATATAAAACCAACACAGCACACACTAAAGGTATTAATCATTAGACTCCAAGTCATGAGATGTGATTACGGATGGGGAAATCACCCCAAAAGAGCTGCTCTGAAATTCTGGTTACATTATATTTTTAATAGTGGGACACTAATTGTTTATTTCTTTCAGAGTTTGCGGGTGATAAAGGAAAAGGTAATTAATTAAAATTAATAACCAAGCAAAGCATTCTAGGACACTTACTAATTTGGGCACAAATGTAAGTGGTGTTTAATACAACTGAAAAACAAAGGCTATACTTGCAGGAGAGAGGACTGTTCCAGGAAGCAGCATTTTGGAAAGAACTTGGCAAGTACAGTTTTAAATTAAGAGTTCAATGTAAGTGAAGTGATATTTGGAGGCACAGACAGTTAAATGTGTGATATAACCTTGTCTTGCACTTAGCTAACATGTATTAGACATGCCAAAGACTAGTAGGATACCAATGAGATAAACTGTTGAAGGCTTACAGAAGACTACATGAGAAAAACCAAAAAATTTGGAAAATGCTTCAATTAAATGTTCAAGAAAATGAAGTTTTCAATGACAGCTGTTTGAAAGGATAACTTGATCAGTCTATCCATGTTAAAAAAAAAAAGTCTTTATGTATGTAAAGGGCTTTCAGACAGAAAGTGTAACAGGATTCAGTAGATCGAAACTTAAAAACATGAGAGCTTCTAAGAAAATCAGAAGCTTGGTGGCAGTTTTAATGGAATCTCAACTGCTGGATAAAAATCTGGACTAGATGACAATTCCATTGGCATTTTTAGCCTTCTGCTCTAAGGAGAAAAATAAGGAACACCTTTGCACTACAGTGAAGAAAAAATACCCCAGACCTTAATTTCAAGACATCAGAAGCCTTCTGAGACAGCTATGTTATTCAGCATTAACCCAGCAGTCAAGACATACTCAAGATTTGATAGCGAGCCCTCAGACGATGCTGTTTGCTGCCTTCAAAGCTGAAGCACTAGTTCACATCAGTACCTCAGCAAAGTACAAAAGGCTCGCAGTCCAAGCCTGCAATGTCAGCAAAGCCAATGCCCTCAACTGTTTCTTCTATTAAACAAAATTTGGCCATGTCTTTGTTGGTATGCTTTGCCCTTCTCTCGCTATACTCCAGCTACGAGGCATAAAATTACCAAGAGAACTGCTGTGGGCATCTGGCTACTCTGACTGCAGTCTTTCCGAAAGGGTCTCAACCAGCTGTAGAAGACTTTTCCACCTAACTCATCTCAGATCTTCTAAGGCCTGCAAACCACCTACTAGCTTTTTTACTTTTCAGCTGCAAGAAAATTTTCCTTGACATGCATCCACAAAGGGAAACAACATCAGGACAATTCAAAAAATCAACATGTTTGGTAGAAAACACACAGCTGCTGATGCCCAGGTTGAGCATCACTATCCTCACTTGCATGGTTCCAAGTAACAGAGATCTGATAGACAAAGATGATGTCAGTTCTGTTATAAAAAGGCAACCTTTCGCCAGGGGAGGTGGGGGAGGAGGGGGGAAAGCCTTTGTCCCTCTCCACGAAAAGCTGGGAGCACTGCTGTAGGGAACCCAGCTGCTGCCAGTTATCAAAAATGTCCTAGATGTCCTAGAACATAAATCTTTAGCTTCCTCACAATAACAGACTCCCAGAAGTTGAAGACATGAACCAGTGATTATAACTACAGTGAAAAGTCTAAAAATTTATGTTTGATACACAAAATAATTAAAGGGAATGCTTAGATGATGGTTCACTATTATTTAATGGATTAATTTATGAAGCAATGTGTCAATTTACTGGTGTTTTAAGTTTCACGTAGCATATGCATTACCTGCATTTTATATCAGCACATAGGTCTCAGTTTAAAAACCCCTAAAGCTAGAGAGCCAAAACAACTAGCCTGATTAAACGTCAGGAAAGCTGCAGCACACCAGACTGCACTTTTTCAGCTTTCCTGGTCAATAAACAAAGTAAGGCATGCAAGGTAGTTCAGATTCCACTGCTAACTTTCACAGTACCCACTCAGAAAAGCATTTTGATTCAATGATGGCAGTTTCAATTGCTGCAACTGGTAGGAGAGCTGGTATCACAAACTTTGAGGGTAACGCAAGTTACAAAATACCAGCCCAATTAAACTGTACAACTGCTTGTCACCTCCCTGGTAAAAACCAAAGACTTGTAACATGTCAGTTCTATATTTTTCTTTTTGAAACCTAAGATTATATAATAACAATAACAACAACTTGAACAATTTCCTGGGGGGCAGGAAAAAAAGTATCCTCTCTGTCCTCCACCCCTCATACAAGAACACTTGCCATACTTACTATGAAAACTCCTGCATAATTTGATTAGATCAAGTTTTCCAAACCACCATTGTTTAAGGAAGAAAATTATCAGCAGTCACAACCCTCATTTCCTTTGGCATGAGATTTGAACGCAGTGCTCACTAGTAAGTTTATCCACCTCATTATTAAGACACTGTTAATATGCTGCAATTTCACAACCTACAATGCGAACACAGAAACATAACACTGCCTTTGAAGCACACTTTTCTGAACCTTTGAAGTCTACATTTCCGCTCCAAAGAACTGTATTGTCTGTCTTTCTGTCTAAGAAACTGGGTTGATTTCTGCGCTCATCTCAATGGTAGCAACATATCAATCCCTGGGCCCTCCCTGTTTGCCTCCATCCTGATTAAAATTCATACTCAATATGCCATTTGCACCTTTAAATTAATAACCAGCTGTTGTTTTTTTTT